GCTGGCCAGTCACTGGGAGGTCGCTGGCTGAATCTCGCCCTTAGTTTCCAAGATCAGCAGTGTGCCGTGTTTTTCTCGCCTGCAGGATATTAGTGCTATGTTAATGATGATGGATATCCACCCGGGAGACACCGTTTTGGAAACTGGCAGCGGGTCTGGCGCGATGAGCTTGTTTTTGTCAAGAGCAGGTGAGAACCTGGCTTTAGAAAACACAGAAGCAGCACGATTCCCTTGTTACGCATTGCCTTTCTTTTCACCAAATACCTATGGTCTGTTCTGAAAAGGTTTGCTGCAGTTCACATGGTCACATACAGTGATTTAAAGGAGAATTGCATCTGTGCCAGAGCAAGTGCAGGGACTGCAAGCCGTTTTGACTGTATTTTGAGGGCTTTTAGTACTAAGGGTTACCAGAGGCCCTGCAGAAAGCTGAGCTTTGGCGATCATTTATCGTTGGCTTTTTCTCCAATCTCATGCCTCTCTCAGTTTCTTTTTCTTCATCTGGATGGACCACGTGAATAATCAGATTGCTGGGTAGCAGTGAAAATGCTTATGTGGATGCACGCTGTTATTTTTTCATTTTACAGCTAGCACGGTTTGATGTCTGTCTCGGTGCTCTAAAAGGTAGAGAGCCTTTGCACACAGCCAATGTGAGTGAGGGCAAAACCTTGCCCTTAGACTTTGTCTCATCTCTAGGTATTTTTGTTTAAATATATTTCTGCTATTGCAGAAAACTGCCTTTCTCTGCAATATTAAAGGACTTTTGAGGGTAAAGACAGGAACCGCATCATGGAGCATCTTGAACTGATACAGCAGAAAAGCACGAGCTGCGTATCCTGAAGGCTTATGTTCAAAGACAGGGCTTGTGGGCAACCCACTATCAGAGTAACCAAAGGCCTGAGGGTGCCAGCAGCATTTACTGAACCCGAGAAGCACCCTGCATCCTGAGCTGCTGTGAAACCTCAGCACCAACATTTCTCTTTTACTGTTTTCTAATGCATGCTACAAAGCATTGTTACGGGCCACGCTGTCTTTGTAAAATGATTATGGTTTGGGCTGCATTCGTGGTTGTACTCCGCATCATTCAGCAGTTCCAAGATAGAAAACGTTTCAGCGTTCCACTTACAGCCAGCCAAGTTTCTGTGGGAAGCGTTGCTTCCTCTTAGCTCTTGTGAGGGAGGCAAACTGAACAAACCAGCTGCTCTTTTTGTTCAGGTCCATTAAATAACCCCAGAACTCGAGGGCAGCAAATTGGTTTTCTCTTGCTCTCCCATGTAGCAACGCTGCATGTCTGCTGTCCCTTGGCACGTGCTCCAGGATAACGATATAAGGCTCTTTAGAAGCATGAGTTTTTACGAGCAAGTTTAGCATTTGGCAAGTATGTTACCAACGTCATCAAGCCAACCCTGCTCTGGGTTGCCAGGTCATACTGCCAAGGACAACGTGACGAATTAGGAATGGTTACACTCAGCAAATGGCTCAGAGTCCTGAAATCCACTAGGAGCTTAAAATTGGTGAGAGCAGGTAAGCAGCAGCAAAGGGAATCTGGAGGGTCCCCTACTGAGGTGAACAGCGCAGTTCATTCTTCTTTGTCCTTTGTTTTAGCTGCAGTAATTGCCACCTGGCCTACTAATTCAGTTGAAAATGCTTATTTTAATGATCAGCCATTAAATGCTGCTCCAGGATCACTCAGCTGTGGGTGGTCTTGATATACTTTGGGCCCAAGTTCTGAGGTCAGCAGTTGCACCTCTGCTCCCTCTCCCTCTTTTTGTCTCCTGCTGCTATTCCTTAGTTCCTTCCGATCATCTTTCTGCAATAAACTGGGGGTTTTTTGTAGTTCCACTGTGGGATTTCGAAGGTGGTATGGGATTATCCTCAAAGCAACCATTGCTGCTGTGGGAGCCAGAAAGCTGACAAAACAGAAGATGGAAGTCAGCACTTCTGTTTCTAGAGATGCCTTTGGAGAGAGGGAAAGTAAGAGTCGTTAGCTCTTCCCATCTTCCCCTGCAGGCAGACCCTAAATCCAAAGAAAGAGACTGAATGCCTGATGCTGCCTAAGGCAAAAGTTAGCTTTTGCTAAATGCAGCGAATTATTTTCTGCCTTGGGTGTGTTCAGTCCACTGTGGCCATTTTGTACGCACACACCTGGACTTCCCAATTATTCCTCTCCTTTTTCAGCCTTGTCCAATAGGTTCCTTCTGATCGCTTTAATTTAGCTGTGACCATGCCAAGTCAGCAAAATCCCTGGCATCGCCAAGCTGTTAACCCCATCCACGGGAAGAAAGCGGCCCTCGTGCGCCAGTTCAGTGCTGCCCTCAGGAAAGGGAAAACAGTATGAGACCATGTTGCTATTTTCAAATGTATTTAACTGAAATCAGCACCAAATAACGGACAGCGTTAGTCACAGTTTAACACAGTTTGGCGCTGATTCAGAAATAGATTTGATTTGCTCTTTCCTAATGGTGGGTAATTTTGCCACCATTTAATACAGTGATACCCAACAAGAAAAACAGCTGCCAGACAGGTAAATGCTGGAATTTAAATCCAGCAGATGCATTACCAAGGTCCATGGAAGTATTTAATTTCCCAAATTCTCACTGATTTAACAGATTTCATTAGTCTTCTCCCTTAGGGTTACTCTCTTTACATTCTTGTTTCTGTTCCTTCTTTAATCTTTCCCAGAAAGTACTGATATGCAACAGGACAAAGTTACAACTGTGTTAAGAATGTGACATTTGCCATGACTTTAAGATCTTTGAGAACCGGAAAATACGATGTATGCAAACTTGTCGTACGGCAGCTCCACAATAATGAAGAGTTCTGCCAAGCCATTTTAACTAGTTGTCTTTATTTTTCCAGAAGTCGGTTTCAAAATATAGGAAATTTTTTGAGTGAGCAGAGGGAGCAACAAGACTGACCCCAATGTGAGCAATTTTACTCTTCCAGTAGTTCCAAACTGGTAATCTCGAGTAATAAGGAGTTGGTGCTGCGATTCTACAACTTTTAAGGTGATCAAAGGCAATGCTGCTGATACCCCACCTCCACACGTCCCAGCTCAGGGAGAGGCTGCTGGGAAACCCATCCCTCTCTTGTTCGCTTTTCTGAATGGATGCACAGCGGGATCACAGAGGTGGGGGAAGCAGGCTGGTGATTCCCACCTAAAATGGCTTTAAAAGTCACAGCGCCTCACCTGCTGAGGTGCTGGTTGCTGAAAGGTGTCTGTGCCCATTAAAAAGTAGCACGGAGAAAGAGAAGCTAATGGGGCGATAGGTTGGGGAAGGCGGGGTGGTGCAAAGATGCAATAACACAGCGAAGCACGGGCCACTGCCTGTGCCTGTCTCTGCCTCGTGCTTCCTTTATGAAGAACATTGTGTATTGGACTCGCATGGCAAATTTCAGGACAGCAAACTTATACTGAAAACAAGCAATAAAATACTTTATTACAGTTACAGACAGTAACAGGAAAATAACGCAAGCCTGCGTAAACCAAGGAGTGCACTTGAAAACCTGCCTGTGGGGCTGAGATCGGCAAGTGGGTGCGGGGCTTTTCTTCGCTTTTCCCCAAGCTTAAGAAGGGACGGGTGGAGAAAGAACTATGCATGGAAAACAGCAAACCTTTGTAAAAATGAGGACTGCCAAAACATTTAAACCCAGCAGTTTCAAATCTCACTAAGACAGAAGGAGTCGCTGTCTGTCAGCTCTGTACGCCTGTGAGTAGTGGCTGGTGTTGGAGCTTTCTGGGCTGGTACCTCTGGTTGGGGTAGCAGGAGTCACAGATTGATAAGGTCACGGGTGCTCACGTCGTTTCCTGTGGCTGGAATTACTTCAGGAGGACATCGTAGAGACGGTTTGCACTGCTAGAACTATGCTTTATTCCGTCTGTGGATCGATGGAGTTCAGTCTGTAAAAGAACTAACCCAGTACTTTATCTGCATATATTTGATTTAAAGGAAAAAATAAACTGTAATTGATAACTTCATATGTGATTATTTTCCTAAAATGAAGCTGAGATTTAAAAGTGTACTTCTGTCATGTACTATGCTACTTTTTTCTAAATTCTTTATTACGTGGGGGCAGAAGTAGTAAGTGGTGTCTTTTTTTTTTGTTTTCAGTTGGGCCCAAAGGACGTGTTATAAGTTATGAAATCAGAGAGGATCATCATAATTTAGCTAAGAAGAATTACAGGCACTGGCGTGCTGCATGGGAAGTAGGACATATGGAAGAGTGGCCAGATAACGTGGATTTCATTCTTAAAGACATCTCAACAGCCACTGCGGATATGACATCTGTAACACTTGATGCAGTAAGTCCAAAAAAATCCCCCCATTTGACATTTCTCTTTTCTGCATAAATTAAAACCCCTAGTGCTCACATTTGCAACAGCACTCCCATATCTAGCTTAACATGAGAAAAAACAATTGGATCCTCATCAGTGAAAGAAACGCTGTGATTTTTTTTTTTGTCAGGTTACAAGTATTTTTGATGTTTCGGTTGCAGTTTCCCAAATGGAAGAGCGATACGGCTGTAGTACAGAAATACTACAGTTAGTAACTGCTGTCTTGTAAGCAAAGGCAAACTAACTTTCTTGTATTTTGGAGAAATGTGTATTTTTTTATCTGAGACATATTTCAAACATTCAATTTAAGAAAAATACATAAGCTTATTGAAAATATAAATATGTAAACACTTTGCTACCAGCTATATAGAACGTGCAATGTAACCAAGACCTAAGTTAGAGTAAGGAATGCACAATTGCTTGCTCTCCTCTCCTGCTTTTTGTATCCAGATTTTGTGAAGGGAGCTGTGCTGAGGCAAACAGCTGGATGTTAACCACCCCTCCCTGTAAAGCAGGCAAACTACTTACACTAACGCTTTAAACAAACGACAGTTGTGTTAAACAGTTTGAGCAAAGAAATAAAATATATGGCATAAAAATATCATTTTTAAAACCTTAAATCTAACAGTACACAGGAAGGATCAGATATTGCATATCCCATTGTTTCACAATTTGAATAGTTTTCTAGCAGAAGGTGGATAAATTGCCAAAGACAGAAGTTTTCTAAATATTGAAACAAACAGCAAGTTAAACATTGAGACCGTAGCGTGATCTTTTCATGATAAAGACACACTTGAACGTTTCATTTTTTATGTTTTTTTTTAATGTTTGAAAACTAGATATCCCAAGGTGTTAGTAAATGTCTTCTAAAAGCATTTATTTATGTCAGGAGTATGGAATTTAATTAGTAGGAAGTTTGACATTAACACAGGACTACTGCATTGGCAAAACGCTACTTGCTGTTTTAATAGAAACTCCTTTGGAAGTAGCAAGGACTTTGTTTTGTGAATGTGTGGATCTCGGGTTTCAGGAGGCAGAAATAAAACTGGTTTGTGATTACGTACTGCTGTTGTATGCGTTCATTTTCCACTAAAAAAAAATTACAGATACATGTTAGTATTTACTGGGAAAACATAAGTATCTTTCTCTTGCAGATAATTCTGGATATGCTTAACCCTCAGGCAGCTCTGCCCGTGGTACACCCAAGTCTGAAACAGGGTGGTGTGTGCGCTGTATATTTAGCAAAGTAAGTATTGACTTCTGGCGCTTAGGCATTCATTCAGGCATCACCCAATGTTGTTACAAAACTAAACATCTTTTAAAATATACATCCAGCATTAATGAAGTGTTTAACAACACTTTTTTGTTTCCCATGTAATTTTTTTTTTAGGGAGTTGCATGCAGTATAAATTACACCTGTCCACATCCTTTGGCCTGTATTTTGGGAATGTTCTCACTATGATCAGTGGAAGTTTTCCCTTAACAACATTCTCAAAATAACTGTACTGCTTTCCAATTCAGTGGGCAGGTTGTTAGCTCCTTTGCCCTAAAATTGAAGGACTCATGTAACCTCAAAGGTAGAGAATGCAAAAAACGCAGTAGGATTGAGACCAACAGTCGGTGATTTGAGTTCTCGAAATACTACTTTATCCTTTGCATTTCTTCAAAAGCATCACACAGGTTATTGACCTTTTAGACAGAATACGGACCCGCAAGCTCCCTTTTTTGTGTGAAAGGATCATTGAGGTAACCCACAGAAATTGGATGGTACTCCCTGCTAAAATCAAGAATTGCAAATCAAGCCAAATGGCAGAAACTCAAGAAAATATTGAAGAACCTCGTCAAAAGGAACACGAAGAAATCCACATTCAGGATCAAGTAGATCTTAAAGGAAGTGAATACAATGGTAAGAACATTATTGCTGATGAGATACCCCGTCACTGCAATTTGATCATCCAAGGGTACAATGAAGGCAAAGTTTGTAGGAAGGGGCAGTATTGTTTTTCTCAGGTCAGCTAAGATTGCTGTGAAAAATAGACGAGCTTTGGGACAGCTTAGGCCTTGTCAGCTTTGAAAAAGATATTAAGTTTAAATATCTTATTAAAAATGTAGACTAAATAGAAAATAAACTGCAATCTGAAAATAATAACTGCCCTTCTACTACTGTTTTCAAATTGTTAGTTTTTAATAAAATTCAGTCCTCTATCTTCGTCCTGTAGTTGCTTTAGAGGACCCTGATGGGCTTAAGGATTCCAAAGAAATGTTACCAGTGTGCTCTGTACTGTAATCATGCAAATCCAAAACAGAAGCAAAAAGAAAATGAAAATATGTCAGGGAAAAATAATCCATGCGCGTTGGCAACTCTGGTCTGCAGGTATGTTTTAAACTTGTTGGAAAGAACTAAAAAGAAGTTTACTTCTCACAGAACCACTTTCTGACGACGCTGAGACATACTTCTCTGTGCCTTACGTCGCCAGACCATCTTACTGGCAGGATGCCCATTCAGGTGAGACACTTGGAAAATGGGGTTTTACCTTAAATGTTTAGTGGTGTTTTATTTTTTAAAAATACTATTTTTTTGTACTAGCATTTGACATGTTACTATATTGTGAAATCATAAAACTTATTATAATAAACTAGTCCTTGTATATTGAAATACTGAAGTAGTAACTTGTTTTCTTTTTAATTAGCATTCCTTACGAAGCTGAGAAAGTTTCGACCACCGCTTTCTTGAAGCTGCTTGTGATGCCAGCTGCTGGTTTGAGTATTGTATCAGAATAAAATAGAATGTTACAAAGTAGCCACTACCTTTTGCAAGTTGTGTAACTTTCCAGTAATGACTGCTTCAATGTCTACTGCATGCAAAGTTGGAAATCCCACCTGGTACTTAAAGGGAAAAGTTTTAACAGACTCATAAGGTACGGTGCCACTACGCAGCACGGTTTGTTCCGCAAAGCAATGGATCTGTGTGGCTCCTCGGGTGTGTGTCATTCTTCATTGCTGGTAAACCAGTCCATGGATTTGTCTTGGTCGGAGGTGCTACCTTGTCTCCTTTTGCTGGACAGGCTCTGATAGTCTACCAGAGAAAAACATTTAGTAAGAAAATAATGGATCAAAGTCCACCCTCTGAAATGCAAGTGAAGCAGCTTCTGACTTCACTGGCTGCCAACTGGAGGCTACTGGTTTCTTAAAGCTCTGCTGTAAGAGAAACTGAAATTCATTGGATTTGTTCTCTTGAGTAAAGCTGTGCTTATTTCAAGAAAAAGACCCATTGCTGACACGTATAGCTTTGGTTCACTTCCACCAGCCATGCTGAAAGCTGCCTGGTTGGTTGTGAACTTTATACAAAGCATTCTCCAACGGTCACAATAAACACAACTTTTTCTGAACTTTGTGAGATATAAAAAGTAAGATTTCTCAAGTAAAAATAGATAGGGTCTCACATCATCTCCAGCTAAAGCACATGCTGATCTTTAACACATTACATTTATTAAATGGTGAGTTGGAGCCTCCTCACTTGTTCTGTACCTCAAGGAAGATTCAAATGCTGAATTTTCCAAAGTTGAAGGATCCCTTGAGAATCACAGTTGTGCTGAAGCTGTCAAAAGCAATAACACAATCCTACTATAACAGTGAAAATTTGGGTGTTAGTGAGAACAGATGCAAATAAAAAATAGACCTATAAATAAATAACCCTGTATTAAATAATTATACTAAGAACTCTGCAGTGGTTAAGCACATGAAGGTATCTTTGCAGAACTGAGGCCTCGTGCAGCTCCCCCAGGAAGTCTGCATCTCAAGTGTGTTCCACTCTTAATAAATTAAACAATGAGCACTTGCCCCATAACTGCTGTATGTAAAGGAGGCTTCTCGGAGAAAGGCTCAAGGTGCTATTTTAAGTAGATTGATGTGCAAGCCAATTACATAAAACAATTTTCACAATAAACAGTTGTATTGTTTTCTACTCATACCTCAATCTTAAAAGGAAATTTGTATAAACTCCATCAACAATTGAGGTACACTTAAAGGAAAATGTGAAGTGTGATTTAATGTATGTCCAAACTGATGACAGCAACTGAGCAGCCTGCCCTCTCCAAAAACACAGCTCTCGACGTTAATTCACATAACGCGCACCAGTATTCTTCCTGTTTCTTCTAGCCAACCCTAAGTGTTTAAAATAGGATTCTCAATTTAATTAATAATGCAAGAACAGTAATAAATGCATAATAGACTGCAACACAACCCAAAGTCTATCACAGTAGATGAAGGCAGTTTGAAGAAACTCTGTACTTCCAGGAAGTCACAGAATCACAGAATGGTTTGGGCTGGAAAGGACCTTAAAGATCACCTAGCTTCAACCCCCCCTGCCATGAGCAGGGACACCTTCCACTAGACCAGGTTGCTCAAAGCCCCATCCAGCCTGGTCTTGAACACTTCCAGGGATGGGGCAGCCACAGCTTCTCTGAGCAACCTGTTCCACTGCCTCACCACCCTCATAGTGAAGAATTTCTTCCTTTTATCTAATCTAGATCTACCCTCTCAGGTTAAAGCCATTACTCCTTGTCCTGTCACTACAAGCCCTTGCCCAAAAGTCCCTCTCCAGCTTTCTTGTAGGCCTCCTCTTCAGGTCCTGGAAGGCTGCTACAGGGTCTCCCTGGAGCCTTCTCCAGGCTGAACAACCCCAACTCTCAGCTTGTCTTCACAGGAGAGGTGCTCCAGCCCTCAGATCATCTTTGTGGCCCTGCTCTGGACTGGCTCCAACAGGTCCGTGTCCTTCTTACGTTGGGAACCCCAGAGCTGGATGCAGCACTGCAGGTGGGGTCTCAGGAGAGCAGAGCAGAGGGGCAGAATCACCTCCTTCAACCTGCTAGCCATGCTGCTTTTGATGCAGCCCAGGATACGATTGGCCTTCTGGGCTGCTAGTGCACATTGCCAGGTCATGTTGAGCTTCTCGTCAACCAACACCCCCAAGTCCTTCTCCTCAGGGCTGCTCTCCACCCACTCTGCCCAGCCTGTAGTTGTGTTTGGGATTGTCCTGACTCATGTGCAGGACCTTGCTCTTGGCCTTGTTAAACTTCTTGTGGTTCACACAGGCTCACCTCTCAAGCCTGCCCAGGTCCCTCTGGATAGCATCCCTTCCCTCCACCGTGTCGACTGCGCCACACAGCTTGGTGTCATCAGCAAACTTGCTGAGGGTGCACTCAATCCCACTGTCCGTGTCACCAACAAAGATGTTAAACAGCGCTGGTCCCAATACCGACCCCTGAGGAACACCACTCGTCACTGGTATCCACTTGGACATCGAGCCGTTGACCACAACTCTTTGAGTGCAGCCATCCAGCCAACTCCTTATCCACCAAGTGGTCCACATGTCAAATCCATATCTCTCCAATTTAGAGACAAGGATGTTGTGTGGGACAGTGTCAAATGCTTTGCACAAGTCCAGGTAGATGACATCAGTTACTCTTCCCTTATCCACCAATGCTGTAACCCCATTGCAGAAGGCCACCAGATTTGTCAGGCACGATTTGCCCTTAGTGAAGCCACGTTGGCTGTCACCAATCCCATCTTATTATCTGTGTGCCTTAGCATGGTTTCCAGGAGGATCTGCTCCATGATCTTGCCAGGCAGTGTGGCTTGAGCACTTCCCGATGAAGACTGAGGCAAAGAAGTCATTGAGTACCTCAGTCTTCTCCATATCCTTCTGGGGAGGACCCACATTTTCCCTTGTCTTCCTTTTATCACTGACATACCTACAGAAGCTTTTCTTGTTGCCCTTGACATCCCTGGCCAGATTTAATTCTATCAGAGCTTTAGCTTTCCTAACCCAATCCCTGGCTGCTCAGACAATTTCTCTCTATTCCTCCCAGGCTACCTGTGCTTGCTTGCACCCTCTGTAGGCTTCCTTGTTGTGTTTGAGTTTGTCCCGGAGCTCCTTGTTCATCCACGTGGGCCTCCTGGGATTTTTGACTGACTTGCTCTTTGTTGGGATGCATTGCTCCCAAGCTTGGAGGAGGTGATCCTTGAATATTAACCAGCTTTCTTGGGCCCCTCTTCCTTCCAGGGCTTTATCCCATGGTACTCTAACAAGCAGATCCCTGAAGAGGCCAAAGTCCGCTCTCCTGAAGTCCAGGGTCATGAGCTTGCTGTGTGCCCTCCTCGGTGCCCTAAAGATCCTGAACTCCACCATTTCATGAGCACTGCAGCCAAGGCTGCCCTTGAGCTTCACATTCCCCACCAGCCCCTCCTTGTTGGTGAGAACAAGGTCTAGCATATCAACTCTCCTCGTTGGCTCCTCTATCACTTGGAGAGGGAAGTTATCATCAACGCATTCCAGGAACCTCCTGGACTGCTTATGACCCTTTGTGTCGTCCCTCCAACAGATACTGGGGTGGTTGAAGTCCCCCATGAGGACCAGGGCTTGTGAACATGAGGCTGCTCCTATAGAGGCCCTCATCTGCTCGGTCTTCCTAGCTGGGTGGCCTGTAGCAGACCCCCCCCTCTAATGTCACCTGTCCCTGCCCTCCCTGTAAACCTGACTCAGAAGCTCTCGGTTGGCTCCTCATCCACCCCCAGGTGGAGCTGCAGGCACTCCAGCTGGTCACTGACATAGAGTCGAGAGACAAGATGTGAAAACAAAAATGAAACTGTGGCAGTAAAAGCACAGTTCTGCCAATGTAACTGTATTTGTAGTGGGGATTTCTGCTAACACATAGAGATCATGCCTTGTCATACCAAGAAGGGCACAGCAGTCCCTGCAGTGGTCTAAAGGGCAAATATGGCCTCAGTTGCCTGAACTACTTGAAAATTATTTGCAATTTTAAGCCATACCTTGGGTGCAATGAGAAGGAGAGTCAACGAGCATTTTTTCAGTTGGAAAGGTGCCCTTCGCATTCTGGGATGAATGTAGTTCCATCATCTCCAAAGTGCCAGTAGATGAGGAGGAAGATGATGATAACCTTAGTCGTACAAATCTTCCTTTCTTACCACAAAGCAAGCAGTCTGCAGGAGTACCACTAGGTCCTCGGGGCAGCTGTACTTCATCATTGTGATAGTTTCTCACAGCTCCGCTGTGGTGCACAGAACGTTCTCGCTGCCATATATAATGTGTTGGAGCAATAGCCATCACCTATCAGAACAGCCATTATATCAGAAACCATAAAAATAACAGGAAAACATACAGCTGAAAATGAGCGATCCAATTCATGTATGGCAGAGAATTAATACTACGCAGCTGAAATAGATATCATCTATTATCTACCTGCTTCTGTCTCACTAGAAAGTTTGCTACCTTAGGCACAAGCAAGTGAACCAGTTATGAGTCAGATGTGGAAACACAAGTGTCTTGTATACTCATGTAAACCATCACAAACACTGGTTTATGCTTTGTACGTTGGACTGAAGATGGTGTCCTTTCCTAACTACTAAACACCAACAAGCTGGATCTTCTGGTTTACAACATCACCACACTGATGACTGTTGGAAGCTGGAAGGGTATGCTGGGAAAAGCATTCCACGCTTGCCTTGTTCCTTGTGCTTCTCCCGTAAGCACCCAGTCCCATCCCCAGAGATGGGATTCCAGAGTAAATGAGCTTTTCCACCAGCTGTGGAAAACACTATGTTCTTAGAACACAACAGGGCTTTTCCCTGAAAAGTGAGAAATCTCTTCTTTCCCTCCTAATATGTTTGAAAAATGTTGGTTGTAACACTGCATTAATAGTTGAGAAGGTTAAAAGTGTATCCTTCTGAGGTTTTTCCAAATGCAGCGGAAAACCCTTACCTTAAAAAGTCAACTGAAGTTATATTATTGATTTTGAAGAGAATAAAGTTTCACCTGAGGTGCTGGGATTTTTACTTGAAGATTCTACTTGCGTACAAACTTATAATTTGTAAAGCAAACACACACACACAAAATATTATTTCTAAAGTGGATGAAGCGAAAAAACAATGGTAAATCTTAAATAAAAATATTTGCATAAAGCAGAAATATTCTAGTCAATAAAAACTTCACTTTTAACAGTAGTAAGATATTCTAGTTTACTTTAAAAGCACAGTTTCAAAGAATGTATTTTAGATGCAGAAGAAAAGAAAAATTCATGGAGGGTAAATGGAACATTACATTTTAGCTGCATCTTTTCTTCCCCATGGCTTGTCTACACACTGTAGGGAAGGAATTATTTGTATAGAGCTAGACTGTTAGGTGGTATTAATTGTTGTAGTTTCAGCATCTACAATATTAAAATCCTCCCTACCTCTTCACAGCAGCGTCTGCTTACAATAGCCCTGTAGTCAATTTTACTCCACAGTTGATCTCTTAATTTTAAGAAATCAGGGAAGAGCTTTCTCCAGGCTTTTCCCAAAGCCCATGGGAAAATGTCATACTTTGATTCTTCATCGTCTTCTTCAACTGTATTTGCCAGATACCTTCAAACATATATATGTTTGTGTCTGTAAATGTTGTTAAATCTTAAATCACTGGATTAGTATGATTTCTAACACTAAAAGACATAATATTAACGTAGTTCTTTTTCCTAATATTGTGAGAAAAACTGCTAACAAAATACAGCCTTTTCTCAGGAGTACATTATTTTCTTAATCAGAAAGTTCCATGTGTATCCTTTGGGTAACTAAAAGTCTCCTAAATTAGTAGATACACAAGAACTAACATATGCTGACAGCTTCCTCCAAACTGGCAAGATACCCTTGCACTAAAATGAACAGTTTCTGACTTATTCTCTAAGTAAAGCTTAAAACTATCTTACAAAATTTTAAACTTTACATTTTCTACTTTATGGATTTTAACTATTCTTGGAAAATCACATCACTCACATTAAATTAGCAGCAAACAACTAAATACAGGTCTACCTTCATGTATAAATGAAAAACTTAAATGACTTTTTTAATGTCCATATTTCTCCCTTCCTTCACTCCATGCTGCTTTTGGTTCTGAGTCATCTTCCCAGACAACAGGAAAATATTTACTTCCTCTGGATCCACCTGATACTAAACTCCTGTGAATCATACCTGAGAAAATTATGACTTTTGGTCTCCTCCCCAATTTTCTCACTTGCTCCTAATCCAAATATTCCCTCTAGTCCCAGTGTCTCCAGAGCCTTTGTCCCTTTCTAATCCTCTTGCTCTTCTGGCCTGGCTTTGCTCCCTTCAGTGGAGTCAGATGGCTTCCTCCTCCATTCTCAGCAGGTGCTACCCATTCACAGCAGAAGAAACAGCCATCTTTCTCCCCCTACCAGTGCACAAATCAGAGCATCTGAGAAGCCTTATTAAGGAAAAAAGATGACCTGAGCACCATAACGCTATGAAAGAAAATGCTGAATCACTCTGTAGGTATAGCCAAATATGGAGAGATTATATAGGCTTGGTAAAGACAGATTCCTGATTGCACCTTTGTTTCAATGTACAGAAATTTTAGAACTGTTCAAAAAAGTTCTCAGAAATTCTCTAGCAGTATTTTTTTGGTTGACTTAAATCACGTTGACAGAAACTTTCTTTAAGAAAGAGATGCTCGTGAGGTGCGTATCATGATGAAACATTTCAGTACAAATGACTTATAGGCTGGCAAAGATATAAAATAGGATCTTCTAACAGGAATTGTGAGCCGCATCTATGTTGCCATGTATTGTCCTGCGTATATTTCTTGTAATACTTAAAAAAGTTCACAGATTTACAGTTTGGCAGGCAGAACGCCATGCTGTGTGTCACAACAGCAACACAAACATCCCCTCACTGCTGCTCAAGCTTGTTCTGCACAGGTGGTCATCAGAGGAATAATGTTGAATTTGCACTATTTATATATAGGATGTAGATTACATTTCTATACTTTGTATAGAACCCAAACAACTACACAATCATTAAAGAAGCCTCATTGTATATCATAATTATCAGTGGCATAAACAAAGAAATAAAATAATGCAAACTTTATCCTAATAAAACCAGATAATTTAAAAGTACTTACAGAGCCACAAAGAAATTGATTCTGGTATGCTCATTTATTGTGAAGTTAGCCCTCTTGAAATAAACGAAAGTCATTGCCAAGAGATACTGTTTTAAAATGTAAAATGTTACATTCATTATTAAGTATCAATGTATTATTTCAGTACATCATTTCCTAAGGTCAAACCACCACAAATGCTTTGCACATTTATCTTGCACCAAGATATTTTGGTCATTTTTATCAATGAGGAAAGCATAAATTGAGTTTCTCAAAGCTCCCATATGAACAAAATAGAAAAAAATTATGGCCTGTATTTGCATTACAGTATCAAGTGATTAAGAACAGATTTTTCACTCGATATATGTTCTATTAACTAAGAGGGAAATACACTTGCCTTGTCTGCAATTTTACAGCAACAGTCCATCCAAAGGAAGTCTTGGATTAGATCATCATCTGCAACAAAAAAAAAGTTGTAGCATTTCAAACACAAAATTGTTTTTGTTAGAAAGTATTTGTAAATAAATAACAGACCATCCCTTTATTAAACCAAATAAAAAGAAGCAAGCTAGACGCAGCAGTCAAGAACAGGGAAACTGAGGGGAGAAAGAGATTAGGTATGAAAAAACATAAGTGACAAAAGAAGACAAACTACCACAAAGGCAAGGTGAAAAAACTAGTGACTGCATTTCATTCTCAGTAGTAGCAAATGAAGGTAAAAAATCATCAGGTTTTTTTCTATTTATGTAACTTCTTCCTGCATTAAGTGGTTCCATCTCATAGCATACCATTATTTCTGATGAACCATAGACTGTTGAGATCTCTGCACTTTGATTGCCTGACAGCCTTTATAAGGCAATACTTGCTTGCTTATCTGTGGTCAGTGCATCACTGTCTGTGGACATGTACTATAATAGGAGTACCACAAACTCTCTCCGATTCACTCCTGGATTCAAGGTTCAAACAAAAAACAGGCGTAGTCTTCCACTACTACTTAATCCCTTCACTACATTAAATAAATACAAAACTTACTATGAAAGAGACACAAATGCAAAAGACACTCTGCAGTTTTTCTTCCCGTCCCACTTCTCCCCCTAAATGTTTATTCCCACAATATATAACACATTTATAACACTGGAGTCCAGCCTTTTTTAAGCCTTGTGTAAAACAAGATGTACATTGTTTTACATGTACTTGTTGAAATAGAAGAGAAAATAGAAAGGGAAATGATCATTAAAAAAAGTATCATACCATCTTGGTTTCATTTGTAATTTAAAAAGATACTTCTCATCAGTTTGGTAGCACTTTTTGTATTTTGAACTTAGGCATTAAGTATTTATACGCTAAAACATAATAAAATATCGTTAGACAAAGACATGGTCACTAGTATCTATACAAAAAGCACTCACAGAATTACTGAGTTTAGAAAACATACTTGCTTAATAGTTTACTACTCTTCACTCAATACATTGATATCTATCATTAACCTACCAAATAATTTTAAAAAAGCTATCATTTCCTGACGATGAATAACTTGACGTGGTCCCTTTGGACATTGATATTTATGTCTAGGAACATTTTTTTCACCATTTTCTTCATGTTCTTCAAAAGTAGGGCGCTTTAGTCTAATAAGTTTTTTTTGCTGATGTGATCTGGATGCACTCAATTTTACATGAACAGTGACAGTGGGAGATGTCTGACACACCAGATTGTGTCTCATTTTGGTAAGTAAAGATTCCTGTTAAAACAGAAAAAGAAATTGACTACAAAAATAGTTAGCTTGAGCAGCAGTTCTCTGCATTTCTTTTGTTCAAATTAAGTGTTTCAGTAGAGCTTGTATGCCAGGTGATACAAAAATTAATTGTATCAGTACTTATTGTCTAAGTCTCATGCCCTAAGCCAAAAATGTAGATTTTTTTAATTTAGTTCTAATTTGATAAAGCTCTTTTTCAGTGGAAAGAGCCTTCAATCTTTCTTTTATCATTCAAATTTCAAAACATGGAAAAAAATCCTTTCCAGAAAAAGTTGCCATTTGTCAGACCCTCACAGCCCCATGCACTTGTATCTACCAAAAAATCTCCATTCCTCCCCTCCAATTTGTGGTTGTGTATTTTTCAAAGAGCATTAATAATTGGGAATAAAAACTTATCCCTCAGGTAGGACATACCCTGAAGACATAACCAAGGACACAAACCTGAGGTGTTTGTAACTGTAAAGATCAAGAAGATACCGAATGGAGCGTGAGGAAAGGTATTTTCAGACAGGAGCAAATGTAATTACTCCTTCAGTAGGTCCCTCCACAGAGCATAGGCCTGCCTGAAGCCAGCTCACAGCAGCCTCCTGGCTGGCTCTCCAGCTCCTAGTCAGCTGCCACCTTAAAAAAACAACCAAACCACCCCCCCCCAACCAAACAAAACCCAGAAGCCCCTCACGTGTGCCTTTGAGAAGGCTGTTTTGGTTCCCAGCGGGCGGGCCCGGCGCCCGCGGCTGCCCCGCCCCGCTCCCCTCAACAGCCCTTCCCTCCAGAGACCGCCCCGCCACGCGGCCCCCCCGCCGCGCACCTCGAGATGGCGCCTCTCGCAGCCAATCGGAGCGCGCGAGACAGCTCCCGCAGCCAATCGGGGCGCCGGGCCCTTTTACCCCCCCC